TTCTTTTCTTTTCTTTCGTTTTCTTTCTTTTTGTGTATCTTCTGTTTTCTTTTCTCCACTTTCTTTTTTTCTTCCTTTCTTCCTTTTCTTATTTAGTAGTTGTTTTGAAGCGACCATTTCTATATTCCACCCAGCTCCCTTATCTCTTCCAGTTTTATATTCCATTCTATTCCAATCATTTTCATTTTCTCAGTCAATCTGATTAATTTGCTCTGCAGATAGCCACGAAGATGTTCATAGATAACTTGGACAAAGTCCCCGTGAGTTAATCTAACATTAAATATTGCATTCATTACTTATAACTGTTATCGTAGATCGAGAGAATGCATTTCTAACAGGTCATTTAATGAAACATTTAAGCTCAGGCAGCTGGCCAATTAAGTTCCAACTGGCATGCTATTAATGCAAAGGTGCTTAAAGAGACCACACTTGACCCGTTAGTGAAAATAAGATTAAAAACAAATCGACTCTAATGGATTTTTGTATTTAAGGTTAAGATAGTGTCAATCCTAACACAAGCGAATGGAAAAAATCAAGCACGCGTATAATACCAGAAGTCTTTAACGTTTGACAGTGCCCTATTTGTTTTGCGCGCCATTGTTTCCCTGTAGTCCATTCATGACTTTAACTTATTTGGGCTTCTTGTGATTTTCAACACCTTAAAAGGTATTTTCTTCGTTTTATTTTTATTTGTTCTTATTCTCATAGGTTGATGAAGTTGTAAGCCAACTTAAAAAGCGCCCACAACTTCTTCATAAGGTAAATGACCGGTTTTTTGGTTTCTTTTGCTCAACAAGGATTATGGCTTTTCGAGTGACGGACTTTATAACCTATGAAACAAACATTGTTTGTTAATGTATATAGTCAAATAGATACAAAAGGAAACAATGGAAATATGAACTACTATTCTCTTTTAGTCAAAACCAACTAGTGGTCTATCATCAATGCTGCGTTCTAATAAGCCTGAAGCGGGATCAAAAATTTTAATATGAAAGAATTTTAAAAACTATTATGGTATAGAGTCGGGGGTAAAACGTCATCTCGCTTCAGACTCATTGGATGAGCTACTAGTAGGCTATAAATTATAGCCAACGAGTGGTCTATTATCAATGCTGCGTTCTGATTGGATGAGCTACTAGTAGGCTATAAATTATAGCCAACTAGTGGTCTATTATCAATGCTGCGTTCT